TATACTCACTACAGAATATAATGCAAATCAAATTTACAAGACAACAGTTACTATGTGGGTGGGTGTTTACAGGAGGATAGAAAAAATACTGTATGGGCATTCTGTGTCTGCATTTATGTGCATGTGGACCTGAGTCAAGTTTTGCCCACCTCTTACTTTCAGAATTAAGTTTTTGAGAATCGGGGGCTAGACCAGAAACAGTCCAGTACACTTGCTGAATGAAGGCTCCGGTCACACGGACAGGAAACTCTCCAGTCACACAGGCAGGAAACTGCGGGGGGGAAGCGTGGCTGTTTGCCCCGGGGCAAACTAACGCACGGTTAAGCGATCAGAACTCCTGTGGAGGTACTGTGGAGGTTCCGTGGGTAGGGAGAGGTGCCGATCACAGGACACGCCTGCACGCAACGCAGAAGCGCGTGGTGCGGCAAACTGGTTTTCTTTTTTTGTGTACACGACAAATGCACATGCTCCATTGGGTGCGTGTGTGCATCCATGGAGACTTGAAAAAAAAGAAAACCTTTTTCGCAAGAGGACATGGGCGGGCGCCGGATGCCACCGGAAACGCGATCAGACACCCGCCCTTGCCCCGTGGTTTCCGGAAACTAGTACCTCCGAGGTACTAGTTTTTTGCTGCGCGTTTTCGGCAGGAAGCCTTAGTTGTGCCACGGAAGCACTACGCTTCCCAGATGTGCCGGTGAGATCGCGCCCAGAAAATCCGCCTGTCTTCCATCTCTCTTGCGTAGCTAATGTTCCGTGTGACCGCAGCCGAACATTAACATAGTTTTAAAAGGCATCCCCAGCATCTACCCAAAAAACAAAATAGGGACAGAGTTTTAGTGGGGACATGGGGACTGTACCTGGTAAATAAGAATCATTGGAACATGTAGAATAGGTAGATAATTGAAGTGACATTTATGTTTCTTACTTGGCTGCAGCAGAGGTCAAGATACAGTCCCGTCCAACAAAGGCCAGCCAGATGCCTTCAAAAGCTCTCTCAGAGCATGAAGAACATTCCCTCTTGCTCATCCCTACTTGCCTTTGATATAGTGTGCCTGTCACAGGCTGCAGTCACATGAAGCTGCCTTACACTGAAACAGACCATTGATCCATCAAGGTCAGCACTGGCTAAGGTCTTTCATACCACTTACGACTAGGATTGCCAGGCCCAACAACCAGAAAAACCTGTAAGTGCTGTTATGCCTCTCTAGGAATCACTGGCAAAACCATAGAGCTTTTCCAAATTCTTAGAGAGGACTGACATAATTTCTGGGTTTTATCATAGTATTTCTGGTGATTACTAGAGAGGACTGATGTCACCTCCAGGGGAAACCCAGCAGTGACATGCAAAATTGCTGACAGGATTTTGATATATATTTAAATCTCCCATCCCCAGTAGGCATTTGGCAACCAAACTTACTACCTGGTCTTTTTTTTTTTATTATTAAACTAAAGATGTTGTGCTTTGAATATGGGACCTTCTGTATGCCACTGAATCACAGTCCTCTTCTGAACCTGGAGGTTCCATTTAGCTGTTATGGCTATGGATCAATCTGACATGGAATTATCTACTTACCCGGAACCTCATATAAATAAAAATGCTTTAAAAAGGAAAAGTGAATTTAGGTAAACCACGTTGAGCCCCGCCCTCTGGTGGTCACATGCTTTCATTACATGCAGCGCTTGTAAAAACATTCACTCCAAAAATGCCAGCTTTGTGAAAGAGAAAACGTAAAACCTAATTTGAAATTATAGTATTTATACTATAGCATTATAGAATTTACACTAAACCTATACAGGCAGTACAAAAAGCAACAGACAGAAGGGAAATAATAAGTACAAAGGATACCAAAACAAAAATTTATATTTAAAAATTATTAATAAACATTATTTTAAGTACTGTTTTAGTAGTAAAACCATACTGGAGTGGATCCTACAGAAGCACAAGTGGAAGCAGCTTGCAGAAGCAGATGATTCCCATATTCCCTTTCTCCATCAGCCTCCAACAATTCTTTTCAGAGGGTTGAGACCCTCATGAGCCAAAGGCCCCATGGCATTGGAGAATGTGTTGGGTGTTGGAAAAGACAATGTCTGGTATATTTTGTGTACTAGACCTTGAGAAGGGGTGTTGAAAAAGACAATGTCTGCTGTACAAAGAAGAAGAGAAGAAGACCCTGAAGGGGACAGCAACAAGACAATTAGAGAGGATAGTGAGGCAGCAGCACCTTCTCTTCTGTTAAGTGTCATTCCATGTCTGTCTCCAGACCGCTACTCTTAGGGCAATTTCTTCCTTCTTCTTGGAAGTTCCACACTCAGTCTCTCTCAGCTAGAGATGTAGTTGGGAACCCATCTCTACCTCTCCTCTTTACTATCAAGTATGTTGGTTCCTAAATAAACTTTTATCTACTCTTTAATCAGGTTGTGCACTATTGCTGTGTTCATTACTCTGCCAGCATTGGGGACATGGGTTCTAGCAAAATTATCTAAACCCTCTTCTGCTAAAGGAGGAGCAACTTCCTCTGCCTGGGAAAGAAGAGGGATTTTGACTGATGCCCCCTCTTCACTGGTCCCACCACTCCCTTGGTGCTTTTTGCTGACAAGGGTCCACTGATTCACTGCATATGATTACTGGGATCACTGGAGGCTGTTGGGGAAAGATAATATGTGCCTCTGTGACCTTCTTTGCTCCCTCTATCAGCCCATGATTATCTTCAATAATTGCAGAGAATACACTTTGAATTACCCCCAACTACACTGAAAAGTAGTTAACAAAACATACAGGTACCAATCCAGCTAGAAGTTCTCCCACACAAGCGCCACTGACCATGTGTTCTTGTGATGCTCCAAATCATTTAAATGAGGCTTGTGCAGGAGAATTCCCGTTTGATTATGCACAGGAGAAAAGATAAAATGCAATGTTGTCATCTGCATATACTCATATTGAGAAGTCAACTCTCTTCTTTCTCACCACATAGGACTTCAAAGTCACAATGAAAAGAATGAAAAGGTTCCACCACCACCCCCATGGAGTTGAAACATTATTTTCAAAGCCCCCCCATGGAGTTGAAACATTATTTTCAAAGCATGCTTTTCAATGACAATCCAGGTTTAGTGACATTTAAGTATTCAAATTGTTACCACACTGTCAACACATTAAAAAAATATTCTCACAATAACAGCACTGATGTATTATACTGTTTTTAAATAGCCTACATCATATTGTTGCTTTTGTCTTTTAGAATCTGTGACTTTGTAGGATACTAAAATGTTTTCAGCCATTTCAGAGCAAGAATGGTGTAGTGATTAGTGTCAAACTGAGACTTGGGAGACCCAGGTTCAAATCCTCACTCTCCGATGGAAGCAGGCTGGGTGACGATAGAATGGAGGAGAGGAGAATGAGGGAAGCCACTTTGGGTCCCCACTGGGGAGAAAGGCAGGGTATAGATGAAATAAATAAACTGTGGTTGCATAAAAGTCCCACAATATATGGTTTTGGGATTTCAGAAAATGATGGGAAATTATGCCAAGAAAGTAAGAAAAGTTAGCCACACTGAAACTGGGTAAACTAGCTTGGAAAGCCGCAGAGATGCCCCATGTTGGTGTTAAAGCTAAGATTGGCAGGTTCTCCTCAGAGAGAGAGCTGGAAGTGAGTCTCCCTTGAGCTGGGCCACTTACAAAGCAAGGCCGAGCACACCTTAAATAAACAACATGGGGCTCACAGGACGAGAGTGGAGCACAGAAAGGCAAGGTCAGGAGAGACGGGATGGCAGGCTCAAGCAGAAAACCTAACAGGACATTAACAATATCAGGGATCTTAGTCTCTTTATTAGGTGAGATTCAAAGGTAAGGCTCTTAGGAGGTACCTCTGATTTGATCAGAGACCTGCAATCACGTAACAATCAATAAAGCCACTGCTGAGAATCCCCATCTATATATCTAATACTGAAGTCGCCCCCTGGTGTGCGGATATCTAAATCCGCGCACCGGGGGCAGCTGGGGGGGAGGGAGAGTTTTGTGCACACGTGGGGCAGGCCCCAGGTGTGCCCAAAAATCTAACCCCCCAAAAAGTAAAAGAACTCTGAGAACGGCTTCGCCGCCGCCACTGCCAGGGAGGGGGAGGGGGCGGGAGAAGGCTTGGCTGGCCAGTGGCTATAAACCGCTCAGCCCTCGCCGCCGCCTGGGGGGAGGGAGAAAGTTTGGCGGGCCAAGATCAGGCCTTGCCGCCACCGCCGCTGCTGCTGGGGGGGGGAGAAGAAAGCTTGGTGGGCTGGCCATGCCTCGCTGACGCGGGGGGAGGATTGGCGGGCCGAGTCCAGGCCTGGCTGCCAGTGCTATGGGGGGGAGGAAGGAGAAGGCTTGGAGGGGCGTGGGCCTCGCTGTGGGTGCCGGGAATGGGGGGCAGGTGATGGGGGGCAGGGGAGAAGGCTCACATGCGGCTGCTTCCTTCTCCTCCAATAGAGCTTCTCTCCCCCCCCCATGAGTATCGCGGGGGGCCCTTCTTGTACTCATCTAAGCTCAAAGAGAGCATTGAGAATTCTGTGTTATAGTAAAGTTCATTCCTTGATCCAGGCCAGTATTTTAGTCTCTGCTGGATTAACCACATTCTAGTCCAGATTCATAGTGGAACAGAAAGACAAAAAAGGTGAAGCAAGTTAAGCCCTTTGCTGCTGCTGAAACTCTGTGGAGAGAAGGGACTTCTTTATTACTCTTTACCTATTTAAAAGGGTTCTGTCTCCAGATCTGATTGCCTCACCTTCTGAATATAACAAATGCTAGCCAAATATAGTCCCCAAATAGCTTATTGAACCAGTTCCTGTTTCCTCACTAGCTGACAACCCTCAATTCATCTCCTTATGACACCATTACTCTATCCTTTAGTAGTACCTGAAGTCCCTTATCAGTTATTATATAACTCTATATGGAGAACTTGAGTTGTAGAATTTATCATCACTATTGTCAGGGTGGTCTTGGCATCCTTGACTGATTTCCTAGAGGATGTTCATTCACGCAATAGTTGCTAGCCCGGAGGACTGTGTCACTGCTATGCATGGGGGAGGAACCAGGCCTCTTCCTTTTCCACTGCCTGGGGGAAGAATGTTTCCATTGGTTACACCAGCAGGAAAGGGCTTTTCTTTCTGCTGCTGACCCCGCATTTTCTTGACATTGTTCTCTCCTCTTTGCTTATCTGAAACACATTTTGAAAAATAGAATGCTTAAAACCCAAACTCAGAACATGCATTTCTAACTGGTGCATGGCAAATGATTAGCAGCAAATTTGACAGCAATTGCACCATGGCAATGAGAAAATGCTAGCATCTCTTCATCCCTCTGGCACCTCTCTTCAGCATGGAGGTTCAGCATCAATTCTATGCTCCTTGCACTGGGTACCAGAAAAACGTAGGGCTCCTTCTGAGCTAACATCTGCTTAGCTTGGTAAGGGTTACTTGGCTGATTTGGTGGACTGATCTTGGGTATGGTAATGGAGATTCCATCACTCTACCTAAAATGTTTTTATCACACCCTTTACCCAAGGATCTCAAGGCAGCATGCATGGTTCTTCTGTCCCTTAGATTCCCAGTATAAACTGGTTCTGGAGGACTTCAACATCCATGCTGTTGTTTAGCTATATTCAGGACTTTGTGGCTGTCATGACAACAAAAGGGCTGTCCCAGGATATAATGAATCCTACACATGAAAAAGGTCATGCATTGGATCTATATTTCATACTATACAGTTTGCTGATGATCTAGTGAAGAACCTTGAGGTGAGACCAACACTGGGGCAGATAAATGACCTGCTGAAAGCATGGTTGGGTTTGTCACTTCCTTCTTACAGGGGCCAAATTTGAATCATCTACTCCTGGAGATATATGGATCCTATTGGATTCCAGAATGCTCTGTCGGACTTTGGGAGTTGGTTGAAACCCTGACAGTGTGAAATATAGAATCATCCATGGCTATAGACAAGGCCCCTGGCCTTTCCTTCCTTTAAACAGGCTCCCTCTCACTAGCTTGATTGCTGTTTGAAAGGGATTGCAATATGACAAGCACCGTGACAATCCAGACATGTTCCCAGAACAGGGTGTTCTTGTAGCTGTATGACCACACACATCCCTTCTTCCAAGGCAGCTATTCATATTTATGGGAAGGAGGTACAAAATATCAAGAATATCATCTCTCACAATCCCAGAGGTCATTTCGGGGGGTATCGTGGGGTATCGCAGTTCCCCCGGGTGAGTTACAGGGGCAGGGCACATGACAAAGCCCCGCCCCCTGCTTCTGGCCGCCCTGCTTCCGGCCCTCATTCAGCCAGGAGGAGGCAGGAGAAGAGGGAGGGTAAGTTGCTTCCTCCCTGCCTCTCCCCACCCCTGCCTGCCTGGGGCCAGGGAGGGCCTTTGCGGGGCTTCCTTGCACTCCCGCCGGCCTTGCAGGTCCACCGCTGGGCCCCTCATGACACACTTCTGGTGATGTCAGGGGGTGTGGCCTTATGACACACTTCCGGCGATGTCAGGGGGTGTGGCATATGCTAATGAGTTATGCTAATGAGTTCCCCTAGCTCTTTTTCTACGAAACGACCCCTGCACAATCCTATTGTGACTCTGTTTATGAAACAAAATGGCAGTCTTTCCTTCAGTGCCTTCCATCACTGCTCATCGAGATACAGGCATGCAAGTACAGCAATGAGCCAATTAGAGGCAGGGATCTTGTCTTAAGGAGGAAAAGATGGCTTAGTCCTAGCAGAAAGGATTAAAAACTGAGGAAGGGAATGAAGTAAGAAAACCATCTATGACACCTATGGCTTGCAAAGCATTCCGTACCTTGAATGCTGTTTGAGTTGTTCTCATTGGTTTCTGTCTTCTGAGCATCCTCTAATGCCTTCCGGGCTTCCTGCGCTTTTTGCTTGTTCTTCCTTTTATTTTCTTCAGCTTGCTGATGGTGAGACATAAAACAAACATCCTGTCATTATTCTTCCGAATCCCTATGTCTAACAAGGAAAAAACAACAATAACTAACAACACTGAGCATAACATCCTTACACTTTGCAATTTCTTTTTGAGCTCCAAGATAGCTCCCTGGTAGGATTTGGATGTAGCGTTGAGATAGTAGATGCTCAAGCTGACGAGAAAAACAAGATGTGCAGGGTCATGTAATGGTTACAGCAATGCAAGCCCATTTTACTACTATGAAATCATGGGAAATCACAGAAAATCTGTACTAATGTTACAAGACTTTTGTCATCGGAGTGGGACTTTCTGGCCTTCCTCCTCCTGATGTAGCCCAAAAGGCCAGCACAGAGGGATAGGGAACCTTCATGAACAACATGAGGGGGATTCAGAGGTCGAGACTGGGAGGTTGGGGGAAGTGGTGAAAATTGTCCCCCTTCCATTAGTGGAACTTTTCCACAGGCGCTAACCCAATATTTATATTTATTTATTTATAAATTAGACTTCTAGACTGCCGTCCCCTGTGAGCAAGGCTCAGAGTGGTAAACAACAGATTAAATAAAACAATCACAAATCAGATTTAAAAAATCAAAACAGTAAAAACAGCAAACAATACAGAAGCAATTTTAGAAGGCTCTAAAATAAACCAGACTGTGTCCATTTCCCGGGGGGCGCGGAGAGAAAAAAGAAAAGCCAGCCTAGATGGATGGTCAGCGTTGCTGTCCCCAACTATAAGCATGGAAAAACATCTCTGCCTTACAGGCCTTGCAGAACTGTATTAGGTCCCGCAGGGCACAAATATAATTCAGCAGAGAGTTCCACCAGGTTGGAACCAGGGCCGAAAAGGCCCTGGCTCTGACTGAGGACAGCCAGATATCTAACGAGCCAGGGATCAATAGTAGGTTCTTCTCTCTGGAGCATAATGCTCTTTGGGGGGGGGGGGATACCAGGAGAGGCGGTCCCATAGGAACATTGGTCCCAGACCATTTAGGGCCTTGAAGGTAAGTACCAAAACCTTGAATTCAACCTGGAGCCAGTGCAGCTAGCAGAGCACTGATTGAATATGTGCTGCCGCGAGGTTCCAGTAAGAACTTGCGCTGCTGCATTATGAAGCAGTTGTAATTTCTGGGTCGGTCTCAAGGGAATATGTGCTGCTCACGAGGTTCCAGTAAGAACTTGCGCTGCTGTATTATGAACCAGTTGTAATTTCTGGGTCGGTCTCAAGGGTAGCCCTGCATACAGTAAGTTACAGTAGCCTGTCCTGGAGCTGACCGTTGCATGGATTACTGTGGCTAGGTCGGGGTGAGACAGGAAGGGGGCCAGTCGCCTAACCTGGCGTAGCTGAAACCATGCCAGTCTGGCAATATTAGTAATCTGGGCCTCCATTGATAAGGGGACATCCAGAAGACACCCAGGCTCTTGACAGTCAGTGCCAGTGTTAGGGGCACACCATCAAGAGCCAGGAGTTGGCACCCCAGTTCTGAATCTCTCCTGCCCAGCCACAGAACTTCCATCTTAGCTGGGTTTAGTCTCAGCCAGCTCAGTTTCAACCATCCCACCACAGCCTCCAGCCCATCAGCAAACTTAGCTGGGGTGGCTTCCATTCATCCATCTATCAACAGATACAGCTGGGTGTCATTGGCATATTGATGGCATCTCAGCCTGAAACTCCACACCAGCTGGGCGAGGAGGTGCATGTAAATGTTAAATAACATTGGAGAGAGGATTGCCCCTTGAAGGACCCCACACACTAAGGGGTATCTCGGTGACACCCTCTCTCCTAGTGCCATCCACTGTCCCCAACCTTGGAGAAATGAGATAAGCCACTTCATGGCCATCCCCTGAACTCCTATGTCGGCGAGGTGGTGGATCAACAGATCATGGTCAACCGTGTTGAACGCTGTTGTCAGATTGAGTAATAGCAGCAGCGCCGACCCACCTCAGTCCAGCTATGTTTCCAGAGCTGATGTGTCTTCCTAGAAACTCTGGAGCTGCTCCGCCACAGCTATATCAATCACCTTACCCAGCAATGAAAGATTTGAAACTGGGTGGTAATTGGAAGGATCAGTAGGATCCAAAGATGGTTTCTATAAGAGTGGTGTTGCCGTTGCCTCTTTTAATCCGCCTGGGTAGACTCCTGACCCTACAGACAGGTTAAAAATTTCCACCAAGGGGTCCCTCACCACTGGCTTTCACCAGCCATGATGGACACAGGTCTAAGAGGCAGGTGGTCAGCTTAACAGCACCCAGGATCTTATCAACATCAGCCCAAGAGAGAATCCAAAGGCAGCCAAGGGGCCTCCAGTTCATGCACTGTATCATTATTTGCAGACAGGAGTGACAAGACTTTATCCGTGAAAAAGCTTGCAAAAGCCTCACAGCTAATGGCCGGATTAGTAACATTTTGAGTTCTCTCTGTGAATATAGCCCTTAGGTTGTCATTAGCAGATCCAGGTTAATTGAACAATATAAAAATGGTGGTTTAAGGTTATTAATGTACTTGTAATGCAATTCCCCCAAAGACATACACATTATCTGGCACCTGTTCTGATGTCGCCCTCCCCATTTTTGTGCACTAAAGTAACTGAGGGGGGAGTTGCCATCAAAGTCAGCCTTGGAAATCAAGGGACATTAACCATAAAGAGTGGAATACAAGATCCCACACGAAAGCAAAGGGGTGATGCTGTACATACACCATCAGCAGTATGACGGGTAGGATCACTCCAGGGTTTGAGGCGAGATTAAAGAGTTTCCGAAACCAGGCAGGGAAATCATGCTCCAAAGTTTCTCCAATGACCTCAAACATCCTAGTTTTCCCACTGTTGATGTACACACAAAAATAAATTAAAAACATTTTTAGTCAAGAGAACACTAAGCAACTCACATCTGCAGGGATACCAGAAGAGTACCTCTGACTTCAAACACAGTCCTGTGTAATGACCATATCTATTATGGTGCAAGCAAGGAGAAAGGGATAATTCTAACCTAAAAGCTTCTTCTTTTTGGCTAGTTCACAGAAATGGTGGCCACAGTGTTATCAGTTCAGGGAGGAACTGCTGTATTCACATAGTGACACTATTGCTTCCACAGCCACATGGCTGGTAAAATGAATTGCATCATGTCAGGCTACAGGCAGTGGAGCGGGGGCATGCTATCACTTGAATGCTTCCCTTATGTTGGGGTTAACCCCCCCCCCCAAGCAAAGATAACACTTGCACAGCTGGGAGAAAGCCTAGCCAATTGATTAATATGCTGGTGATCATTTTGCAAGGAGTTTTATCTCTGAGGAGCATTCAAAACAGCGATCCCACCTGCAATCTGAATTCTGCTACCTTATTTTGCTACTTCTGGAATGCAGGCCAAACACCTGGCAGTGAAAGCAGCAGATAAACCAAAGAATTGACCCCTCTGCACAAAACAGGTAATGGTGCTCTACTGCTCTCAAATCGACAGCTGAGCGGCTGAACCAGGGACAAGGGCCAAAATCGCCACAGTTTCCTACAACTGGGCTAGTGTTTCCTCTCAAGTCTTATGCATTTTTTATACAGGATAGTTACATATTTCAAAAAGTACACGTGGAATGACCATGGTGGGGAACTGAGGAAACACTGGACCCACATCCAACAAACACTACTTGTTGTACTAGAAGAATAATTCACAAAGCTCAATTAAGTCACCCAGTTCTCAGAATATCCAAACCAAAATCTATGTAATTCTTGCTTAGTCAGGAAAGTGATTGGGCAGCCCTGAACACACTAAGCCACCTAACGTTCTTCCTCTATATTTCAATTCCACCCATGTTCTATGCCTCATGTTATTCTGTGCTTGTGGTGACATGAAAGCATTCATCAGCTATGAGCATACAGACCTGAGCAAAGAGTCCAGCAGAAGGCACGATAACAGTGTATCTCTACTCCTGCCCTCTTGTTTGAAAGAAAGACTAGAGTTATACTCCCTAGCTTATTGTTGGATTTGCAATCTCTCTAATATTTTGGACAAGCAATATATAAGTTTGAAAATGTAGCTAGTACTAGAAATGTAGAAGTACAATATGTTGATTCCTGCATCAAAAGATCAGAGCATTAGACATTTGAGCTATCTTGTTTGGGAAAATATTTTTATAGACTTTCCCATCTTGAAAGCTTTTTTTATTTTAATGCATATGGTAAGATAGTAGAGAAGAAGAAAAAACCCACAGTAGTTTATTTATGCTTTCTTCATGGCCAAAATCCATTTACTCCTCCCCCCGAACCACCGGACGTCGGCGAGACGTTTGATCTGGCAGCCGCGCGGTAGTTCGTTCCGGGGCAAACAGCCATGCCTCCCCCCCGCGATATCCGGCCCGTGTGACCGGGGCCCATGTAGGGTTTCCAAAGCAAGAGATAAACATGACCTGCCTCTGCATAGCAAGCTCGGACTTCTGTGGTGGTCTGCCATCCAAGTACTGACCATGGTCAACCCTGCTTAGCTTCCAAGTTCTGATGAAATCAGGCTATTAGGGCAGCAAGGTTTTTTTTTTTTTTTGCCATCAAGTTACAATTGACTTATGGCAATCCTATAGAGTTTTCAATGCAAGAGATATTCATAGGTGGTTTGCCATTGTTTCCCCCTGCTTCACAATCATGGAGTGCCTTGGTGGTCTCCCATCCAAATACTAACCAGGGCCAACTCTCCTTAGCTTTCAAGATCTGTCAAGATCAGGCTATCCTGGGCTGTCATGGTCAGGGCAGATCCTATCCATCTGTCATATACTCCCGTAGTCAACAGTTGTGTAGGTGATAACTACCACTGAGAATGGCCTGAAGTACAAAGGGGCAGGGAGAGAAAGGGACTGTTTAAGTGGATACCAGTAAGCAAATGATTTGTCATTCCTATATATGTATGTTAAATATAGATGGCTCCATATACCAACTGTTGACAACATATCCTAGGGTTGCCAAGCCGCCACCCCCACCCACCCCCGACCATCTGTGGGAGATGGGGGAGTAGGGTTGCCGGATCCAGGCTGGGAAACTCCTGGAGATTTGGGAGTGGACCTTGGGTAAAACAGGACCCTCAGTGGGGTACAATGCCATAGAGTCCACCCTCCCAAGCATCCATTTCCTCCAGGGGAACTGATCTCTATAGTCTGGAGATGACCTGTAATTCCAGGGTATCCCCAGGTCCCACGTGGTGGCTGGCATCCCTAAAATATGCTCAGTTTGGTTTACTTTGGTGCCTCCAAAATATGCCATTGTGTGTATTTAAGTGCTGTCAAGCCACTTCCAACGTATGGCGAACCCAAGAATCAATGTCCTCCAAAATGTCCCATTGTTAACAGCCTTGCTCAGGTCTTGCAAACTGTGAAGATTAAGACTTGGACAGGCAGCCATTAAGGAACCCGGAAAAGATCCTTAAGTGTAAGGATATGTCACTGGTGGCCAAGACAATTCATGCCACAGTATCCATTACTATGTATGGATGGGAAAATTAGACAATGAAGAAAGCTGACAGGAAGAAAGTTGATTCATTTGGAATGGGGTGTTGGGGGGAGTTCTACAGATACTGTGGAATGCCAAAAAGAGAAATAAGTGAGTTCTAGATCAAATCAAGCCTGAACTTTCCCTAGAAGTTAAAATGACTAAACTGAGACTATTGTACTTCGGTCACATTATAAAAAGACAAGAGTCAGTGGAAAAGACAATAATTTGGGTTACCACATTTTGAAAAGCAAAAAAGAGGACATATATCCCGACTGACTATTTCAAACAAGTGATCACTATGACAAATCTCATTTTAAATACCCCTACTATTTAAACTGTGATAATTGCTACTAACTGGGAATATTCCTATGATAATTGCTACTAACTAGGAATATTCCTAATCTTCCAACCCAAAAAGAGGACATTTTCATCAGATTTTTTTTAAAGAGCCCAAAAGAAGACAAACACACAAAAAAGAGGACATGTCCTCTACAAAGAGGACATCTGATAAAACCCCACCATAATGCTAGGAAAAGTTGAAGGTGGCAGGAAAAGAGGAAGACCCAACATGAGATGGATTGACTGAATAAAGGAAGCCATGAGGGCCCTCAGTTTGCAAGACCAGAGCAAAGTATTTAACAATAGGACTGGAGGACATTAAATATGCCTTTAATACATGAATAATGAGCAAATTAATCTACAGGAGAAACTTTCCCTTCCACTCCTCCCTGTATGGAAAAGGTCCACTCGTTAAATTTGCACTTGTCACTCAAGTTATTAAAGGCACAGGAACTCGGGGGGGGGAATCCTATTTGAGAAAGGTGTGAGGTGGGGAGAATTCATTGTGCTCTGGACACTCATCTAGGAGCACCTGAAAACACTATTGAGATGAATTAGTTATACTACTTGTAGTTTTGGCGTATAATTCAGAGAAAGGTGGCTGCAGAACTTTTTCTTCATAGGACATTGCCACCTGTGTGTTTTTGGTCCTGATACATTGATGCAGCCTTTGGGGGTGCTGGTTAGAGCTAAGGAGACCTTGCCCAATATAGAAATAATAGAAAAGCATTATCTCATAAGGAGATGGAATGAGACTCTCAGTAGTTGTTCTTTGTTCCTGAGGAAGGACTGGAACACTGGAAAAATTACTTAGGAAAAGAGTTGGACTTTTTGTATATTTATGGACTTTTTGCATATTTACCTTGTATATCAATTCTTTGGCTTCTGTATTTTCCTATGATGGATTGTATGGTGATTTACTTCTGACAATAGATGCATTTCACTTTAAATGAAGTCTCCTTTGTGAATATTCTGCGGGATATTCAGCTCACAGGCCCCGGTCACACGGAGCATTTGCCACGCTAAAGATATGGATGATAGGCGGATTTTCCGGGCGTGATCATACCGCAACATCTGGGAAGCGTAGTGCTCCCGTGGCTATCTCATGGCATCCCACCGAAGATGCGGACTAAAAAACTAGTACCTACGAGGTACTGGTTTCCGGACACCGTGGGGCAAGGGCGGGTGTCTGATCGCATTTCCGGTGGACTCCCGTGGCATCCGGCGCCCTTGTTCCTTTGCAAACAAGGGTTTTTTCCCCCAAGTCTCCGCAGGATGCACAAAATCACCCAACGGTGCATGCGCACAAACTGCCGTAAAACGAACTCCCATTTGCCATGGGAGCGGTGCCTAGCGTTTGCTGCTGTGATCACGCCGCGCTGCTTCTTTGCCGAGCTGCTGGATAGCCGTGTGATCAGCACCTCACCCCCTAATCACAGGACCTCGACGGCACGTGTGATCGGGTGGCCGTGCGTTATTTTGCTCTGGGGGAAACAGCCACGCTTCCCCCCCCCGCTTTTTCCAGCCCGTGTGACCGGGACCACAGTTGTTTTGTTAATCCATGCATTTTTTACATTGGGGAACTTTTTACCCATTGGGGAACCAAATTATTTCACTGGAGTGCTAAAAATCACCAGTTTGTCGTCTAGTCTAAGGAAAGATACCAGTGTTGCTGAGCAAGTGTGCACAGGATTGCTGCCTTTAATCATTTTGTTGATTTTGATGGGACTGAGTCACAGCTGTCTTTCAATGCCTGGCATCTTTATTTCTTGTGCTTTCCCCCATGACTCAATGAAGAAATGCAACAGACCTGAATGGGCCACAGTCAAAAGATGGTGGGATGGAAACAACAGTGTAGACGACTGGCAGTGTGGAAAGGAAGAGAATAAACAGCAGCATGGCCATGTAGAAGTTGTTAGATCTTGAGGCTTTGAAAACTCTCTCATGAGGGACGTTGCAGCACATCACAGCCCAACACTGCAGGTACATGGAAGTGTGGAGGCGAATCATGTTGATAGCTGGGAGGCAGGGTGCATAAAAGGCACCCATCCTGGAAACAATTGATAAACCATTCTATCATAAGAAAGCAACAAAATATATACTGCAACCAGGTGACCAAATTCCTCCAGCTTCATCTTGTTTAGAATCCAATTAATTTATCTTCCTTGGGATTTAGTCCATCAATCTTTTGTCAAAGACTTCTCCTTTCTTCTCATCACACTTTTGAACACCCAGCTCCCCATCACCACCACAACTATCTACCAAGCTCACAGACACTGGAGAAGATGTTATCCAGTGCACTTCCCAAGAGCGTTCAATCTACAGATCATGGGGAAAGCATCTCCATTGTTTGGCTAAGGTTCTGTGTTCATCAGTTTGCTTATTTATTAGTTCAAGGTCATTTACAAACATGAAGGGGGGGGTATTGTTCTGAAGTCCCTTAGTACATATTTTTGCAATTAAGAGATTTCTGGAAAGTTCACTTAAGGCTTCAGAAGAATCTCTGATGCAAGTAATTAGAGAGCAATCTGAAGCAAGTCTGCTCAGAATTCTAGTCAGGCCTATTCAATGGGGCTTACACCCAGGGAAGAGGTCTGAGAATTGCACTGTTAAAGTAATAGTTTTAGTACTGATTAGTTATGAAACTATCTAATGCGATATTAAACTATACTACATGATTAGAGGATGGCATACATCTTTCAGACACTGACTACTGTGGTTGTCCATCCTTTCCCTATGCAACACCAATTAAGGGGCACCTATTTAACTGTACTGTTAACCAACCTTCCCTCCAGACTCAAAGTAGCATAAATAATATTATCCCTTTTGCATGCACAACTGCTGACTCCAGAAGGAATAACAAACCCACACTAGGAATATATATTGGGATAACAATTAACCAGCTAATTAAATGAAATGGGCATTTTTGTTAATGTCATTATCATATTTGAGTCCTTATAGGGAAAATAATGGCATTTATAATATTTAGATCTATTTGTTACAGTATTATTTGTCTGTCTGACTTAGGCTTCACAGAGGTCAGTGAAAGAGAAAAGGATGAGCAGTAGATGATATAGTTGACAGGCCTGTGAAGGATCACATCCACTGGGACCATGATATGGCCCAGGAGTTGGAGCATGGGCTGCAAGCCTGGCAATGCATCTTTACTAGGATATCTTAGTATGAACCCTCTGCCTGTACCACTTCTACTGGGTAGAGAGAGATTCCAGGGGGCTGGGCTGGAACTTAACTGTCCCAGGACCTGGGGGGGACACAGGGAAGTTTTGGTGGAGGGGTTGGGGTTACTACTGCCGGGTCCTCGAGAACAAGTTCTGGAACAGATATGCCAGGGACCCCTACCCTGCACTGGTCCCCTGCAGTTCGCTGGTCTCCCCCAGGCCACGTTTCTGGCTCCTCCTCAGATGCTTCTGAGTTGCTGTCCAGAGCCAGCTCAGTGGGAGTTATGGCACCTGGGTTCAGTGGGGGGGAAACCCCAGCAAAATGGCTGTTAAAATGTTCACCGAATTACATGTGCTAACTACGGTGACAGCTATATTTTCCCCCTATAGCTGAGTCTGATAGCTACACCAATGACCCAAACCTCCCTCTCCACAACTTGTCTGATTTTAAAGAATATTTCAGACATTGGAGAATCCAGCCATGGATCACCAGTTTGTCATCTAGTCAGAGGAAAGATACCAATGTTGCAGAGCAAGCAGAAAGGTTGGGTGGTGGCTGCAGCATTCTCACCGAATCCCTGGCACACCTGTTACAGAATGGCATCCCAAACAGGAGAAAAATACAGATGTGACAGCTGAAAATCTGTGTTGAATGCCCTATGAAATGGGGATCCTTTCTCTGACCTGCCAGAATGTTGACAAGGAATGAGCAAGTACAATTTCTGAATATGCCATTCTGTCTGGATGGAAAATAATGTATCCTCTAATATGAAACCTTAAATAATTCAATAATGAAAGAAAATTGAGATGAATTTTAAAAGATCAAATGAAAGTTTTAAGAAATACACCTCTAGCCCGCATCCCGATGATATCAACACAGTAAAATCCAGTTGAAAAGTACACTGAAAGTAGATTGAAAGTGGATTATTTAGTGTGTGTGACTGCAGCCTTTAAGGCAGGTTTTATCTACACCAGAGCTCTTGTCATTCCCACATCCAGTTTAGGGCCTTTCTGCATGGAAGGATTTAAAGCAGGGCTTGCTTGCCAGTGGTGGGCTCTGAAGCCAGGACTCCTTGAGAAAGGAAACGCAGCACCCACCATTGAATAACACTGTGTAAAGAAGAAGAAGAGATTGGATTTATACCCCGCCCTTCACTCAGAGTCTCAGAACAGTTTACGTCTTTCCTTCCCCCTCCCCACACAGACACCCTGTGAGGTAGGTGGGGCTGAGAGAGCTCAGTGAGAACTGCTCTTGAGAGAACAGCTCTCAGAGAACTGTGACTGACCCAAAGTCACCCAGCTGGCTTCATGTGGAGGAGCGGGGACCTAGTTCTCCAGATCAGAGGCCACTGCACTTAGCCACTACTCCAAATGGGTGTAGTTTCATCCTCCTGTGCTTTTCTCTGAGAGAAGAACAAAGATGCAAGGAGAAGAAAGCAGTACTGCATTTATTTAATCAAGTTTCCTGAAGTTTGACTTTGCCCTACACCAGCAATAACAGGCACAGGCCAACCCTTTGTCGCACCAGGAAGGTGACACCCAACATCAGTGCACGGGTGAAGTCTGATTCACCATTCTGTGACTTTTGGTTTATGCCAGTTTACTCTGAGGCCTCCAGGCATGATTTCTTTTCTGCCACACCATCATAAAACTGGAGCAATCAGGAGCAGAAACAATGAGTGTGATTTTTTTTTTCACGGTCAGAATTTTGCCCCAGGTAGTTTATACTGGATCTGTTTTGCTGGCTTTGCTTACTCACCAGATCATGCCTTGATTGAAGATCAGACCCAACACATTGCCACTGATATCGAATTCTGAATAAGAAGGCTGAAGGGGGGGGGAAACATATCACAGACTCCCTTAGATTTGCAATAAAATCTTCTGCTACATTATGAACAGTTTTCTTTTCCTGGAACAATCAAACTCCAGAAACATGAAAGAGAACTGAGAGATTATGCAGAATTCAACTTCCACCATATTAGTTGGTGCTGAGATAGAATCAAACTCCTTGGTTTTTAAATGACAAGTAGTCACAAAACTGGTAGTGGAGAAACTTTCATTTTAAATATGCCTTCTCAGAAAACAAGAGAAAATCTTTGTAGATGCCTATCTCCAGGAAGACAGAAAAGCCTGCTGGAAAAGGCACTAAGACCCAGGATGCTTTCTGTGTGTTGCTATCAGAAAAGTCTGACATTATATAGATATATCTTTCATTCTCAAGACAGTCTCCTGCACATTCTCAAATACAAGAAGGAAAATTGCATATTTAAAATACTAGGATGGGCTCAGATGTTTTCTACTGGTGAACTAGTAGAAAGACTGCTGAATTCCCAAACATTAGAAGATTACAAAACTGAACAAATCACTTAGTCATTAAACCTTATTAATCATCCATGGCCTATTTGGCACCATTATGGGCAAAACCATCCTTGGCACTGAACAAATATTAAGTAGTGAACATGTAAAATAAAAACAAGGCACATGTAAAATAAAAACAAGTCAAAAATCTCTGACTGCAAATTCTGTCAAAATGTAGCTCTTATGTGATTGGCTCCTTCATCTCATCACAGGAGGGTACATAGCATAGTTTCCTTCCAATATATTCTGCTGATTTTATAGATCCAGAATGTGACTGCTCTTCTATGTTACTAGTAACGTACTACTCAGGGTAGTAGGAAGACTCCAGTCTTCCTTTTCATCAGGCCACCCACCAGTCCTTTCTCAGCTTCACAGTCAAACATAGCCATCCCCCCCCAAAAAAAAAAGAACTCTGGAAAATCCAGTGGTTAGTTTGCATGTACTGAAGTTGAACATGCATGCAAAAAATGTGCATTGTGCCTGTTTAGGCAACACAGAGACTGAGCATATCTAGAAGACCTATGCATGGCTGGGAGGCTTCCACTATTCATGAATGCAACATCTGAAAATCAGCTCCTTCAAAGTCTGAGCACAATATAGTTTTGCTTGACAGTTATGTTCTATGGTAAGCATCTGAAAAGTATTGGGTTCTATGCATGGAGAGGCGGATTACGACATGCTGAACAAGTCACGTTTATTGTAGTACACACACAAAAGATGCAAATGGCCCGGCAAGGGTAAACTATATACACCCACCCCAGACACACCCACAGTCCTATTAGAGGGTTTGAATCTCCCGCCAAAGGTCCTATTGGAGGACTAAAGGTGGCCTAGGATCCTTGGCCCCTATTGTGCTAGGAACCATGCTGGGGACTGAGGACGCAGACCCCTGGTAGTGGTCCGTGGACACAACAGCATCATACTTATAAAGTAACACAGACAAATGGGTGCCCCTGCATTGCACAGACTATTACACTGATGCCTAAACAACACTGACTTCAAGTCAGGTACCTGGCTATGCTATTAAAGAAGATGCATCTATTCAGTTCAGTTCAATTTGGTTTTATTACATAGGGCCAAAGGCCATTACAGACAACGAAAAATGTAAAATAACAATGAGTAAATGATAGGGCTGCCAAGTCCCCCCAGGGGGCAGAAATCCCCCCGCCTCAGAGGCCCGTTCCCCGATGCCAGGGAATCGGGCCCCGGGGGGAACCCCGCCCCAGCGCGCACGTCGGGAAGTGATGTTATGACGCCGGGCACGCTGGGGGCGGGGCCATGGCCATACAAGGAAAAACGCTATGGTTTTCCCTTGTATGGTCATGGCCCCACCCCCAGAGTGCCCGGCGTCATGACATCACTTCCCTGTGACTTCCATGCGGCGCGCGCGCACATGCACCGGGATCCGACTGGGACTCCCCCGCTGGCAAGGTAAGTGCCACTTGGCAACCCTAGTAAATGAAACATTGAAACTGGATTGCTACCATAACTATTACAAGTTACATTTTTGTAACAGTTAAAATTAATTTTAAAATAATGGTTCTTCAGAAACTCATCTGGCTGGCTATAGAAAAAGAATAACATTTTGCTGGCCTAGTCTTTGGACACTCAATTAGATCCGATTTTCTTGGTAGCTAGGGCGAAAAGAGCAACCTTATAGGAGACTACTGGTTCCTCATCAGAGAGGAGAAATGAAACTTTCTCCATCATGGTGCTTGGGCCTAAAATAGCCAGAATAATGTCTAAGAATTTTTGTCTGGATAAATAAAGCTGAATAAAGTGGACAGGCCAACAAGTAGTAGTATAAATCTTCTAGTTCTGGGGCTCTGCAGATGCATCGACGCTGATCAACTGGTTCCTTCGAGCATGCCAATTTGCATTGTCTGGAAGCAAATAGACATGAAGGCAGAGCAAAGTTTGTAGAAGGTAATTTTGGACAGCTAGTGTGCCCTAGAATGATCTTTTTACATTTAAACCAGGGAGAGAATTTAGTACCTGAAAAAAAACTTGCCTGTTAAAGGCGGCATCATGCGCATATACCCAGGCCTGGCAATTGAAATCAGCCTGGGGGCACCACTAACATCTGGCAGTTTATACTGATGGAGAATTTTATTATAATTGGTGGACCACGTAGAATCTTTTTGACATAAGGTGAAACACAGGCTAGGAAGATGACTAGCAGGAACACTTTTCTATTTGTCCCAGTAATTAATTAGGGCTACATGTGCACATGTATGATTGGATGGAAGGCCCAGTTCAGCTCTCAGCAGGGCAGCCGGAGTGTTTAGGGATAGTGCTAAAGATCTTTTTCATGTGGCATCTGTTTCACGTGAGATTCATTGCCTCAGCAGGTGACAGTAGGGTTGATCCAACCATCCTCTAAGCAGCCTTCCTCAAACTTAACTCATTCTTCCATTGGAGGAAGAGGAAGGAAGGCTCCTTAGACTAGAGGAAGACTTCACACTTGAGCCAAAAGCAAATGAATGAATAAAGGAATAAACTGCTCAGTGGAGTAGCAGGATAGGATCCCAATGACTACAAGCTAGAATGAAGGAAGATGGGTTTATTAATGGCTCTTCGCCAGGCTAGTTTAATAGAACTGCCATGCTCAAGAGCATCCAGAGAGACATGAGCTGGCTGTCACTGGAGACAGAATGCTGGACTTAACAGACCTGAGAGCTAAACTTGATGTTGAATTTAGTGGGGCTTGACGGCACTTAGCGTACACAGTATGATAGTGGCGGTTTTGTTCCCTGTTCCTGTTCTAATTATAGCAAGCATGGAATTTGCCTTTTTCACAGCAGCCACACACTGGGCCAGCTTCCTCACTGAGCTATACATTGCCACCCCCCAAGATCCCTTTCTGGGTCTGCTGCTCCCAGCCCAGTTCCCATCAGGGTATATGTGAAGTTGGGGTTATCTGCCCCCAAATGCATCGCTTTCTGCTTGCTCACATTGCATCTCATTTGCCATTTTAATGCACATTCCCTCCGTTCGGAGAGACCCTTCACCAAATTATTTAAAGTGGTTAAGAAAAAAATGGGCTGTGGTACTATCCACAAACTTGGCCACCTCACTACTCACGCCCAACTCCAGGTAATTTATGAACAAGTTGAAAGGCACTGGTCACAATACAGGTCCCTGAGGGACCCCACTGCTCACATCCCTCCATTGCAAGAACTTTTCATTTATTCCTACTCTCAGCTTCCTGGTTTTTAGCCAATTTTCAATCTGTAAGAGAACTGTTATCCCATGACTGAAGTTTGCTCAGAAGTTTTGGTGAGGAACTTTATCAAAAGCCTTTCGATAATCCAAATAAACAATATCTACTGGCTCATTCCTGTCCGTGTGTTTACTGACACTTTCAAAGAACTCTAAAAGGTTAGTGAGATGAGATTTAAAACTGGACACATCTTCTAAAATGCAGTCATTACTATAAAGCTGTTAATACCGTAACTCAGTAACACTGAATACGAGGCTACTTTCAGAATGGGCTGCTTAGAAAATAGGAGGCAAGAAGAAATGGGATACTTACAAATCCATATTCCAAGTCCCAGCACCAGCAGTAATTGAAAAACCTGACAAAGACAGCTTTCAAGAAATCACCAATTAAGATTGTGACATAAGTTGTCACAGTGTCGGAGACCGTCAGCCGCACAAATTCCTGCAGAAACAGAGTTTCCCTTTTTTAAGAGAAGCAAAGCATTTGAGTTGTGTTTTGTACTGGGGGGCTTAGCAATCACCCCCTCCCACCCAAAAAAAGCAAGCCATCTTTTGCTTTTGTTGAAACTGACCCTAGGAATTCTTCCCAGCAATTTAGCACTACTCTTGAATTATGTATGCAACCAAAGGAAAGGGTTGTCATAAAGTCTGCTGTCACCCAAACAGTCTTACTGAATGTAGTAGAAAAGAGTAAGAGTCCAGTAGCACCTTAAAGACTAACAAAATTTGTGGTAGGGTATGAGCTCTTCCAATTGAGCCACCGCAGGTCTGTAAATAGTTGGGGCCAAATTCCAGAAAGATAAGGCTGCCAGTCACTCTTCCTTTCTCTCTATCTATTATGAAAACTACCAAAAATGTATGTCTCTGTACAAAGTTTCACCGCCCAACAGCTCCAAACATAACAAAGAACAGTAGAAGAAGCTGACATCATGATGGTTTGCAAATGAAAAAAATGATAATAATAACTTTATGAGAATCAGCAAGAACAGTTTTATGAGAAAAATGGCATTACCTGTCCAACCATTGTTTCCCAACATGGGCCTCTGGGTACATCAGCAAGATGCACATGTGGTGGAGGATCAGTGACATTTTCAGGGATTGTCCCATTGTACAGATTGGTTAACCAAATTGTCATGTTCTGCCTAACAATCTTCTCTTCCTCCAGCTAAGGAAAAAACAGGGCCAAAAATATTTGTTAGTATTTATTTATTTATTTATCTTTGGATTTGTATCCCGCCCTTCCCAAAGGCTCAGGGCGGCTCACAAGGGGCACGAATGCCCAAGTTAAAACACTAAAACAATACAGAAAATATAAAATACAATAAAATACAGTTCGCTAAAAATTTCTTTACGGTGCTCCAAAAATATTTAACTATAAAATTCAAGATGGGGTTCTATAATTATTTATACTAGAAACAACAAACAGCAGTAATAACAATATATAACAGCGACAGTATACATCCCTACAGCATTGTCATCTGCTAGGAATGTCTCGCGCCCCCCAATAGTACCTGCTCTGAAGATGGTCAGTTTGCGGGAATAAAGAGGGAGGCGTAGATGGAATGATGGACACGATAGTGACATAATGATGGTGGCGTAATGATGGTGGCGGCGGCTCCTACACGAAAGCCTGGCAGAAGAGCTCCGTTTTACAGGCCCTGCGGAACTGTACCAAGTCCCGCAGGGCCCGGATCTCTTCTGGGAGCTCATTCCACCAGGTAGGAGCCGCCACCAAAAATGCCCTGGCCCTGGTAACTGCAAATTTGATGTTTTTGGGGCCTGGAATGTCCAGGAGATTTTGGTTCCCCGACCGTAGTGCCCTTGGGGGAACATGCAGGGAGAGGCGGTCCCTAAGGTAAGCTGGACCCTGACCATATAGGGCTTTAAAGGTTAAGACCAGCACTTTGAAGTGAATCCGGTACGCCATTGGCAGCCAGTGCAGCACTTTCAGCACAGGCCGGATGTGATCCCGTCTAGTGAGACCCATCAACAGCCTGGCCGCAGCATCCTGCACTAGCTGCAGCTTCCGAATTTGCGACAAAGGCAGCCCCATGTAGAGACTGTTACAGTAGTCCAGCCTCGAGGTGACCGTCGCATGGATCACTGTAGCCAGGTCATCTTGGTCGAGGAAAGGAACCAACTGCCGCACCAGCCAAAGATGGTAAAAGGCCGACTTGGCAGTGGCTGCTACCTGGGCCTCCATTGTTAAGGAGGAGTCCAGGAGTACACCCAAACTCCTAACCTCTGACGCTGGCACCAAAGGCGCCCGGTCGAAGGTCGGGAGAGGGAGCCCCAACCCCGAACCGATCCGACTCAGGCCCAGGACCTCCGTCTTTGCCGGGTTTAGTTTCAGCCGACTCAGTCTGAGCCAACCAGCCACGGCCTGTAACGCCCGATGAAGGTCATCCGGGGTGGAGTCCGACCGGCCGCCCAACATCAGATAGAGCTGGGTGTCATCTGCATATTGATGACACCCAAGCCCAGAACTCTGGGCAATCTGGGCAAGGGGGCGCATATAGATATTAAACAACATCGGGGACAGCACTGCCCCCTGAGGCACCCCACATTCAAGAGGCCACCTCTGGGACCGCTGATCCCCTATCGCCACCCTTTGTCCCCCAACCTTGGAGGAAAGAGGCAAACCATTAAAGGGCGAGCCTGTCGAATGCAGCCGACAGATCTAACAACACCAGTGCTGCCACACCGCCTCGATCCAGATGCCTACGGAGGTCGTCAGTCAGAGTGACCAGAACCGTCTCTGTCCCATGGCCCGGGCAAAAGCCGGACTGGAAGGGATCAAGGACAGAAGCGTCATCCAGACGCTTATTATAAATCATATTATTTGGAGATCTTTGGTCTACCATTTTTTCCTTGACCCTTTCCATACTATAGCTTATTTTATCATGGCAGAGGACATGAAGGACTAATGCATGTCTAAGAATCATAGAATCATAGAGTTGGAAGGGACCTCCAGGGTCATTTAGTCCAACCCCCTGCACAATGCAGGAAATTCACAAATACCTCCCCCTGACACCCCCAGTGACTGCTGTTTCATGTCCTCCCTCTCATGATGTGAAGTTCACAGAATCAGCATTACTGTCAGATGGCCATCTAGCCTCTCTTTGAAAACCTCCAAAGAAGAGTCCACCACCTCCTGAGCATTGATAAAGATGTTGAACAAAACAGGTCCCAGGACAGATCCTTGAGGCACTCCACTTGTCACTCCTCTCCAAGAGGATGAGGAACCATTCACAAGGATGTGGGTGCCATCTGTCAACCAGTTACAAATCCACCTAACAGGCATAGGATCCAAACCACATTTTACCAATTTGTCAACAAGAATATTATGTGGAACCTTATCAAAAGCCTTACTGAAATGAAGATAAACTATGTCTATAGCATTCCCCTGATCCAGCAAGGTAGTAACTTCCTCCAAAAAGAGATAAGGTTAGTCTAACATGACTGAGTGATGGTTGTTCTTACCACCTGAAGCAAGCTGCTGTGAGGCGCTTCCTGAAGAAGCCATCCTTGGATTCTAATAATTTTAACAACAACCATCAAGCAGTTGTAGCACCAGACTTCCTTCACATTTTTGAAGTAAATTTGGTGTTGAGTGTATCTTCTCTACTGCAGCACCCTGTCTACAGCACTCCCTCAATAAACCTTTCCATCTGCAATTCCTTCTTGAGGTTTAGGTGCCTAATGTGACAGACTGTCAAGGGTTAATGCCTAACTTAGGCTGTGGTCACAAACACTAAATAATCCACTTTCAATCCACTTTCAGTACACTTTCAGTGCACTTTCCAACTGGATTTTACTGTGTGAACTGGCAAAATCCAGTTGGAAAGAGCACTGAAAGTGGATTGAAAGTGGATTATTTAGTGTGTGTGACCACAGCCATAGTCTGAAAAACTTTAAGTGACAGGCTGTTCAAACAGAATTCTGTTGAGAGAGTCAGTTAAGGAATGACAGTTGGAAACTCACAGCTGAGGAAGTGACACTTAAGCACTGATTATGGATTGGGAAGGAGGCCAAGACAGTGAGTGGATCAAGGAGGATCCTCATTCAAGCCAAAAAAGGGAAATAGCTGCTAGTAAAGAGAAGTGATCCCTGCCTAGTTAAGAAGGGAAATAGCTTCTAGTGAAGAGAAGTAATCCCTGGTCTGGGTATAAAGAAAGATTTTGGGAACTCGTTGTATTTTTCTGCCTTTACATGTTGGTGAAACTCAGAAACCTATGCTTGAGTTTTTACGCAGAAACTGAAAAAGAAAGCCTTTGTCCTCAAAGTTTTAAAGACTTTGTAGAATAACAGAAACACTTACTTGTTGTCAACAAATTATCTGCGTTTGTGTGAATACAAAGTTACCTCAGTTTTATTATCTGTTCACCTCAAAACATCCTACACCTGATTCCTCCTGACTTTGTATCCTCCAAGTTAAATAAAACATTTTGTTTATTTGGAACTTTCAAAAGCCTCTGATGTGCCACTTCAGAAGCATAATATATTATTTTGTCTCATCCCTCAATTCCCTGGGCTGGGCCAGCATCAAAATATGTATATATAATAAAAGTGATTGAGTGGGATAGCCTTAGACAAACAAATAAGAAGAAAACAGATAAAAGGGCTGCTCAGCAAGAAAGAAGACACAAGGGAAAATCCTGGATGTGAGGGAGGAGGGTGAGATTGCCATACCTGGTGAGGACATTTTTATTCTCCTGGGCCATTGGAAAGAAGTCAGTTTATGCATGAGTGTTTGTGTGTGTGTGTCCAGATTGTCCTGGGACTGTTGTTTTCTTTTATTTAGTTGTTGCTGCTGACTGTTTTTCTTGTGTTTTCTTGTGTTTAGATGGTTTAAGATAGTTTTTAATTATTGTAATGATGCCCTTGGTACTTGGTAACTATTGTTTTATTAGGCACAGTACTAGGAATGAATGGGCACAAAACTATTCAACTCAATCTGCCAATGAAGCCTATCATATCTATCCATATGGAAAAGGCAAAATGATGAAAATGATATATTTCTCATTGTACTATGGTTAATTTTGATTTAACTCATTCCATTTGTTTCAGTGGGACTTAGTAGTGACTATCTGAATCAGGGCACATAAACTATATCTTTGTAAATTTCTGGAGGTCATTACTTTAACCAAGGACATATAGGAAAGATGACCTTCCTTGCCTTAAGATTGATTTCATCCATCAGAGCAATGATGAATGTGTACAGGTTGCCCAGGAAAAGAGCAAAGATGCGCCCCAGCTGCCACCGTAGAGCTATTCGAGGGTGATAGTTTTCCAGAGCACTGATTATATCAAATACCGTGGGACAGAACATTCCCAAAAGAGACATGACCATGTTCACCTGGGTAAAAAGGAAAAAAAATTTAAAGATTTCATTCTATGTACATATTTCTTCCACTGCTGGTACATAAAGAAAGCTGATGTTAAATCTTTAAAATAAAGATGAGACTAGGTTTAAAAAGATGTTTCATGAACACAAGTAATTTTATTTCTTTTGCCTCTTCTACACTGATAGTTCCCTTTTCACAGTTGAGATTGAAAAGGAGCAGGAAAGTTTTTGCAGCAGCACATGTCACAGAGCTAATCTGTATTACAATTCATCTCAGATAGAAATGAAACCAAAGAATTGCATTCTCCCCTCCTCCAAGTACCTGTAATTTCTATATGGAGGGCAGCATTTTGTACGATGTACATGATGACCAAAGGATTTGTGGAAATGAAACCACATTTATTATCTGAATTACTTTCCAGTTGTTGAAAAGTAAAATCTCTTACTGAGATTATCTTAAAAAATGAGATAGTCTGAGAATATGGCTCAACCCAATATTGCAAACAAAACAGAAAAAAAGATGTATTGTGGAATCAAGAAGAACATCCTAATTGGGGATAACAACACCATCAGTATTGGATAAGCTGAAGTAAGGGATGAGTCCTAATTGGAAAAAAATCTACATTGTTCTGCAGCACGATTCCCAGATGTTGCTGTGGGATCGCGCCCATTTGCTGCGGCCCCGATCCGTCCCTCTCCCAGCCCAAACCGTCTAGTGTGAACAGGGCCTAAGTCTGGTAAATTATACTCTGCAATGATTTCTCAAGTCCTAAGTGATTTCTCACGTCCTAAGTAATGTGTGATGTTAAATGGACAAGACAGAAATTGCAACCAAGTCTAAATTCTACCCCTAAGCAATCTCCAGCATGCCAGCACCAAAATGAATATTTAATTCTGACCACTCACCATTAAAATTATATGTTCATTAAGAGTAAACAGTTTAGCATGTATAAATCACATTCTACCACCCATGGTGTCTACAGCGCTGACAGTCTTGTCAAATGTGCCTCTACAAAAGGCAACAATAAAGGGCTATCATTCATGTGAACATGATTTCACCTTTTTTAAAACTAGAGGAAGTGTTTGTTTATTTATTTATTTACAGCGCCAGAACCTAATTAGGATGCAAAATGAGCAGTGGATAAAAAACTTAAAATTGTAACTATAATTTTTGTAATAAATTATCACTTTTCAAAGGTGGGATATAAAATTTTCTAAATGAATGAATGAATACTTGGGGAAAATGATGTGAAGGCACCCAAAAAACTAAAGAGGTTGTTTTGGTTCAGCTCTAGTTGTGACAACCCATTGGCTTTCAGATCCCAAATGTGAAGAACCTGTGATATAGAAATGTCCGCAAATTTATAATTTGGAATGCATCTTCTCACCAAAGAAGAGAGTAATTATGATCAAGAGCAACACTTAGCATAGCACTGAGAAAAACAGGACATTGGACAGCAATCTCTACGTTTCTGGAAGCAGAATTAAAATATCCTTTTGGGCATCAACCTTTCCCCCCTTTTGTTTACACTAAAACATCTCCTACTGAAACCAATAAATAAACATACCACTAAGTCATTGCAAAAAAAAAAAATGCTGTGGAGATTTCTCTTCAGAGGACACACCAAAACTTCAGCTTGGGTATCATGGCTAGTAATCATTAAGCCAGGCTTTCCATCCCATTTACAGCTGTTGCACACATCAGCCAAATCAGAAACACCATAACATTCTAACACCACAGCCTGTGGGATCTGGAGTCTGCTTGCCTGAGGCAGGACATCACAATCCATGGATGAAAGGATTGTCCCCATTCCCACAGTAGTTCTTTCTGACTCTGGAGGAGTCTTGGGGCCAGGACTAATCTAATAGCTGTGGCCTTGGAGACTGTAATGGGGCAGCAATATGGTTGCCAATCTCCAGGTGTGGCCAGGAAATCACAACCCCCGGAGAAAGTGGCTGTCCTGAAGGGTGGACTCCATGGCAGTATACCCGGCTGAGGTTTTTCCCCAAGCCCTGTCCACCCCTAAATCTCCAAGAATTTCCAAGCCTGATGTGTGCCACCCTAGGCAGCAAGAAGAGAGCTATTTCACACAAACATACACACACACACTTGCACAAAATAAAGCAAGTTCTCTGAACATAGCACAAGCACATATAAGAAAGGGACGGGGAACAGCTGCTGCTGCTGCCCTTGTCTTAAGCAATTCACCATGCCTCCTCCCATGATATTCTTGAGAGACCTCTGGAACAGACCAGTGGTTCATCTCTCATGCAGAAAAGCAAGTTCTCTGAACATAGCAAAAGCACATATAAAACAGGGATGGGGAACAGCTGCTGCTGCTGTTGCCCTTGTCTTAAGCAATTCATCATGCCACCTCCCATGATATTCTTGAGAGATCTCTGAAACAGACCAGTGGTTCATCTCTCATGCAGTGGCCACCAGTTACTTTGGAGGGCCAATAACAGGGCATAGAGGTTGCCTCCTGGCATTTGTATTCAGGATTTTACTGCCACTGAATATGTAGGTTCCCTTTAGTCAACATTGGCTAGCAGCCAGTGATAAGCCTATTCTCCACAAATCTGTCCAATCTCCTTTTAAAGCTGTCTGTTCCTGTGGCCAACACTACATCTTCTGGCAGTGAATTCCACATTTTAATTACTCATTGTGTAAAGAAGTATTTCCTTTTCTCCATCCTGAATCTACTGCAACTTCATTGGATGGCCTCAAGTTCTTATGTTTTGGAATGGAGGGGCGAAGTTATCTCTGTCTACTGACTTTATCCCATGCATATTTTAATAAACATCTATCATGTCCCCCCATAACTGTCTCTTTTCTAAACTGAAAAGTCCCAAACTTCTCCTCATAGGAAAGGTGTTCCAACCCTTTAATCATCTTGGTTGCCCTCTTCTGTACTTCTTCCAGTTTAGCAATGTCCTTTTTGAGATACGGTGACCAGAACTACACATAGCATTTCAGATGAGGCTGCACTGTAGATCTATGCAGGGGTGTCATAATATTGGCTGTTTATTTTCAATCCCTTTCCTTTTGAATAACCCCCAGCATAGAGATTGCCTTTTTCACTGCTGCTGGGTATACTGGGTTGACACTTTCCTTGAGCAATTCACTATGACCCCAAGGTCTCTTCCCCCCTCAGTCTCAGCAAGTTCAGACTCTATTAGCATATATATGAAATTAGGACTTTTCCTTCCAATGTGCATCACCTTGAACTCCATTTGGCACATTTTTACCCACTCACCAAATATGTGGAGATCCTCCTGGAGCTCTTTGCAAATGGCCTCTGTTTACACCATCCTGAATAGTTGCGTGTCATCTGCAAACTTGGCCACTATACATCTAACTCCCAATTTCAAATACTTTCCCTCTCAGTCTAAACAAGTTCAGACCTCTTTAGCATATACCTGAAGTTGGAATTTTTATGTTCCAGTTAGCACCTCCTTACACTTACCTACAGTGACCTTCATTTGCTACATTGTTGTCCACTGACCCAGTTTGTGGAGATCCTCCTGAAACTCTTTACAACTGGCCTTGGTTTTCACCATCCTGAATATTTTTGTGTCACCTACAAACTTGGCCATTACACAGATCACCACCAGTTCCAGCTCATTTATGAACAAATTAAATAACACCAGTCCCAATAACCATCCTTTTGGGGTCCCACTTCTTACTTCTCTCCATTGTGAGAACTCTACATTTATTCCTACTCTTTGCTTCCTGTTGTATAACCACTTCCTAATCCATAAAAGGACCTATCCTCTTATCCCATAACTGCTAAGATTACTCTGGAATCTTTGGTGAGGTACCTTGTCAAAAGCCTCTTGAAAGTCCAGGTGTATAATGTCTACTGGGTTGCTGTTATCTACATGACCCTTCCAAGTGACTTTTCATGGGTTCAAAGATTCCACAAACCTGCTTCATGTATGGAAATGTTGGATCCAGCCCATTGTATCTTTCCTCAGAAGCTTTTATACATTATCTGACTCTTTCCTGATTTATGTCCTTTGCAGACATCAGGTTGACTTTATGTTCAAATGCAAATGGAAGCTGTATTCACATGGAAACATGTTGCCCTATTTACATGATAGACATTAATGTTAATGAGGGTCAAATTTCTACCGTTGCGTCATGTAGGTCTATGTCTTTATGATACTATATTTGTTGGTTCTTCCCCCCCCCCTTGTTTAAAACTGTTGTACACTGCTTTGAGCGTGCTCTGCGGGGAAGGAGGGTGGTATAGAAATTCAATGAAATAAGTAGATGATACAGCAGTCATGCACAGTGCTCTTCCATAATGCACAACTGATAGGTTCCTCCTCTGCATGAACAGAAGCCAATGTAACATCTTCAGTGAACTAATATTGCTTGCTATAAGGGGAGACATTGAATAAGTACACAAACCACTTAAATTTTTATTGTGATGATGTTTTACTTAGTTTCTTGTGACCTATGAATTTAAGAAGTAACAAATATCTGAATCTAACCCCTACCACGACTCTTTTTGATTTATTAATTCTCTTGCATCGCATATTGTGGGTTGTTAACGTTTCTGTAGAATTTTGCATGCTTGTTGTTCAGTTGGGCAGAGATGTGCATTTCAAGTTGCAACATGGATACTATTTATCTCTATGACTGGGAGAAGCTTGGAGTGGCTGGCTGGACCTCATTTAGCATCTATTCAAACGAGTAAGATATGTTTCCTGTTATCCTATCTGAATGATGTCAGACTGATTATATATCTGTAAAATCTGTAGCAATGGGAAACAGAGAAGTGAAGAGGAAGTTACTGTAAGAGAACCCAACAGAATGGCAACTATCTGATCAATACAAGAAAATCCTTTGTTCTTCTTTCTTTGTGAATGAGTAGCAGCATTTCTAACCCTAGCAGAAATCACTCTGTGGCCGTGATTGCATGCAATTTACAGTGCTTATATATTCAACACTGGCTGCAACCCAACAAGCTACTTTAGGAAACTTCAAGGAGTGTGCTGGCCGAGTGGGACTTTAGTCTTTATTCTTTGAATATCACACAGAAACACATACGTACACTGTACTACAAACTGCTTTTCCACCTCTCTTCAGTTTCAAAAGTTCTAGGTACCACAGGAGCAAGAAATACAGGTCCAAAGCACCTTGAATGCAGAACAATAATCAAGTAGATCTTTGGATCCAAGCCAAATATTAAATGCACAGAGGTTTCACTCAGCATGAGGGCCAAACTACACAACACATTGAAGATCCATGATGTTGGGGATTTGGTATAAAAAGAAGCCATGATGGAAAGAGATTCTAATACAGATTACAGGTACTATGCTATAGCAGGGGATAAGATCTTTCACCCCCATCCATGTTGTTTCCCTGATCCTACCCACACCAGGCTGCTTTTAGACTTGGGTGGGGTGGGGGGAAGGCACGTATCCTGTATGTTTCCTCTGCTGGGGTAAATGCAGGAAGGGAGGCCCTTTCCATCATGGACGCAGTGAGAAGGAAAGAAAACCCTTATTCCCCAGTGCTGCAGCCCTAATCTACATGCCCACCCTTCCATAGCTGATTTTTGTGGTGAAATGGTATGTTCCATGATCTGATAATGGATTTCCAATGTTACAATATTTTAACAGGCATATGAAAAACATTTATATGTACCCATAATGGCTGATTATGGTTTGTGGGTGTTTCCAGCTGTGTGTAGTAGATGAGTAGATGTATTACAGGCAAGATTTTCTGGTGAATCATGCTGTGTGAACACATGCAGTAAAGGAGTATTACAGGCAAGATTTTCTGATGAATCATGCTGTGTGAACACATGCAGTATGTATCAAGTGTGCATTTGCTACCATTTTATATGTAAAATGACCATAAGAGAGGAGGAAAAAGCCAGGACAGTTGATGCCACAGTAGATTTTTCCTGATCCCCCATCGTAAGGTACGCTGCCATGTATTCTACCATTCTACTCAGCCAAGTCTGAAGCTTTTCTCCAGCTTAAGGCAACTTACTACTACTTCAGTGGCTCTTCTGCTGGTGAAAGAGACCCTTAAGTTGGGGGAAGTCTCCTTAAATATGGAAAAGGGCTTCAGACTCTGCAAAGTAGAGTGGTAAGATTCATGTCATTACCTTCCAATACTGAATTCTACTACAGTATATTTCAAATGTGTAGAACCATCCAAATCCAGATAAGCATACAAATCCTTTTTTCTTTTTTGGCTGGGAATGCATGCAGGCAACCCCCTAGTATCTCAGTTGCCAGAACTAGTGAAAGCAAAATCTTGCAAAGAAACTCTTTTTTAAAAAATCCTTATTTTGCCAGATTTCATCCTACATAGTGATATTTGTTCACTCATAAATCATTTGTCATTCGGGTTGAGTTGTGTGATGACCTCATTTGTAGGTGACCCATAAGAATCCTGGAAGACTGCAAAGAGTTCCAAATGGACTTCACAAAACTGGGTGGGTGATCAACAACAACAATTGTTGCAGGCAGTATCCTGTTACTCCATGCACAGAGAGTCTCATTTTTCTGCATTCTGCTCTGTTTTTGCAGACCCTTACAACTCCTGGAAAGATTGTTCCTGGAGTCACAGGACTGCACAGAGGAGCAGCTGTTCCAGCTGGGGTGAGCTGGATTAAAGAAGAAAAGAAGGTGAAATTACTTTCCCTCCTTCCTTAAGTGCAGCTCAGCTGAGGAAAGGAGTCAATTCCATCCCCTCATTCCTCTTCACCCCAACCCACCACTAGTCATCATGCAATGAATTGGAAAAGCTGCAGGAAAGGGGAAGAACGTGGGAAAACTCTGTGTGCTTTGCACACATGGATGATAGGTTACTAACTACCCAGTGGGAGTAAGGTTAAATAAAGTGATGCACACTAGGGTTGCCAGCTCTGGGTTGGGAAATACCTGGAGATTTTGGGGGAGGAGCCTGAGGAGGGCAGGGTTTGGGAAGGGGAGGGACTTCAATAGGATACAATGCCATAAAGTCCACCCTCCAAAGCAGCCATTTTCTCCAGGGGAACTGATCTTGACTGTCTGGAAATCCACTGTAAAAGCAGTAGATTTCCAGGTACCACCTGGATGTTGACAACCCTATGCACACCAGAATTCCAAATCCTAAAATGATACTTTCACGGATGGAATCTAAATTGCTGCAACTGTCCAGAAATACCTAGCAAACCTGAACATAAGGAGGAAGGAACAGTTGTATGACATAAATCTTCTCTTACTCAGATTTACTTTCCCACAGTCTGTGGACAGATCCTTTTTAATCTTTTCACCTAGCTTTAGGTGACTATAGGAATCATGAAGAAACAAATAGCAATTTCTTTTGGAAGATTTCTTTCCTAACCCCTAATAATTACAACTTCATCATCATGCAGACTAAAATCCAGGTCTTCTATCACATCTTATTTAGAAAGCATGCTCGGACTAACTTCGTTTCGCTCCCACCACCCATAGTTTTCCAGGCCTTCCAAAGCAAACTGTTGGGATCGCCTCACAACAAAGTAGATGAGATAACCACTCCCAGCCAGTGTGCACAATGCAAAAAAGTTAGCGAGGACCCTCAGAAATCGGACCAAGTGGACATTCTCTTCTTTTCGGCTCTCTTGTTCCTCCACAATTGCTTCCTGTACTTATTTGAGATAAAAAAAGAAAAAGGTTAATGTATGTAAGTGCACTGGAAAACATCAGTTCCTTCAGCTAGGGTTGTAGATGGTGTAGTGGCCATGGTGGCCTCACCACAACAAGGAGGCCTCCGTTTTCTGTTGAAACTATAAGCGCTCTGGGATTCTTGACAAGCATTCAAACACTTGGTACTGAGGTCCATATGGGGATCTCAAACTCTGCCGCTATGAAGGGGCTTAAATCAGTTCAGGAAAGACCATGCCATGTCACATGTCAGGAAAATGGCACAGCGCAAATAACTAGTTCCCCCTTTCCCAGTGCTACAGCCCTAGTCAAGATTGCCCATTCCTCCATCACAGCTGGCAGATCTTTCACAGAGCCAAGTTACATGTCTGGATTTATGGAACTGCAGAATTACATGTAGCTTGGACCTCAGGGCACTGTTTGAAGGGTCTCATTACACACATCCTTTGTAATCAAGTGACTGCTTCTGAACGCACATCTGACTTTGGGTTTTTAAGAACTGAATAATGAATCTGCAACTAAATGTAAATTGCAAAGGGGTAGTTGTATCAGTCGGTTATCGAATATTTTTAAAAAATCTAGAGGCACCTTAAAGACTAATATTGAAATAAGTATTAACTTTTAAGGTGCCACTGGACTTTCATTTCCACTAACTGAATGTTAGCAAATTGATGGTGCTATTAGTTTAACTACACTCAAATTACCAGTGGTTTATATGGTAATTAGAGACATTAAGAGGACTTGTTGCTATGGAATTTGATTGCCCTGATTTTGTTTGCATGCCAGAAGTCTTACTTGTGGGATACATCATCTTCCATAAAAAAACAAATAAACATACAGCATTTTAAACATTTTAAATCTGTATGTAATCTCTATGTATCTCTAGATCTATATTTGATACTAAAAAGTAAAACAGACATATTGTTCTTTTGATGTATTACTCTTTCGGCTCTGGTTCAACAAGCAATTTTCTTATCGAACAATAGAAAGAATATCCTCCCTGTCCTTGTCAGCCTTTTTATGGAAGGGTGCAAGGTCTTCTCTGTTCTCTCCATCTGACTTACAGTGCCATAGAAGAGACATGAGTTGACAGAAACCATGTGAATTGTGTAATCTGTAACAAAATCCTAAGAGACCACAGTATTATAAATATCTTGTAGGCTAACTATTCCTCTCATGTGCATTTGCTAGTCTAGCGTATTGGTTAGAGTGACGGACCAGGATCTGGGAGACCCAGCTTCACATCCCCACTCTGTCATGGAAGCTTGATAGTCGATTGGGTTAGCTACACACTATCAGCCTAACCTGCCTCACAGGTTGCTGTTAAAAGGAGAAAATGGAGGAGAAAATTATGTTATAAGCTGCTTGGGGTCCCCAATGTGGAGAAAGACTAGGGTTGCCAGGTCCATTTCGCCCACTGGTGGGGGGGGATGGGGGGACATTCCAGTAGAGGGAAATGACATCACCCGGCACATCGGGCACAACACTCTGGCTTTTGGGCAAAACTCTATGGTAAATTCAGCATCAAACCATGGAATTTTGCCCAAAAGCTAGAGCATCACCCCCGATGTCGCCGACATGCTGATGTCACTTCTGGGTGACACAGGCATGTTACATGCGATGTCGCTGTTTGGGGGGGATTCCCTCCCACCAGCCAGCTGGCTGGCTGGCAGCAGGCAGGAGCCTGCAAAACCAGAGGATTGCTCCCTTGGGCAATTGGCAACCCTATGAAAGACAGGGTATAAAAATCTAAAGAAAGAAAGAAATGGTGAGTGATCAAGGTACTACTTTTACTATCATGTTATTCTTATTGCTATAAATCAGTAATATATTAATATAACTTGTAACTAGTAAGATAACTATATAACTATTTACTATTACTCTATTAAGTGATTTACTATTCATTCTTGATAGTGGGCAGAGAAAACAGTGCACTTCTTTCCAGCAGGCCATATATTACCTTGAAACTAGTTGTTATGGATGCAAATTTGTTATCTGCCGTTTCAGGGTTACCAATCAAGTAATCCCAGCTGGTGAACATTTTCCAGCTAAAATTGAAACTTGTATCATCTCCACCGCCATCATCATCTGCATTCTTTGCCATTCTGAAAATGCCAAAGACATTTGAATGTAAGTTCTACCTCCCCCCCCATGTTGCATTTATTTTATTTGAGTAACCAACACATTATTTAACAAACCAATTACATTTAATTAAATGTACACATTATGAAAGCACCAATACAGTGGCTCGGACCCCACAGTAAATTTCCACTGATGAAAGTATCTGAAGAAGTGAGCAGTGACTCACGAAAGCTCATACCCTGCCACATATTTGTTAGTCTTTAAGGTGCTACTGGACTCTTGCTCTTTTCCACTGATGAGAAGGAAAGACAATTCTCAACAATGCCCCTCTCCCACTACAGACCCGCAATTGATTTGCTATGCCCCAAGAAGTAGTATTTTGGGAAGCACTTCAGGCTGC